TGATAACCACCAATGCCAACATCGGATTATTCAACCCCCCCCCTATAGGTCAGGGTATACCTTGCAAGGTCTTTCCTGAATCCTCCCTAAATAAACGGCCCCTGACATGGGGGTTGATTAATAAGGGGCAAACCCTGATTATTATTAATGGGGGACATGGGCTCATGGGGGGTACCCTTTGGGAGCTATCCAAACTGATGATTTTTATAGAGAATTTAATTAGAAATCGATCATTTGGGGAATAGTAGTTTTTTCAAATTTTCAATGATCATGTGGTTTCAACTTAAATATAGCACAAGGAAACCATAAGGAAACCATTTGAAACTTTTGGATTAAAAAACATGGATTTCAGCACTGGTGGTTGATTAATCATGTCCCAGCCAAACGGTTTATTAATCCTGGGGGACCACCTGTTTTTAAATTACAAAAAAAGATTGGGCAGAGGGCGTTGATTAATACCGCAGGGTTTATTAATCCTAACTTGACATTACCGTCCATGACCATCCACAAGATGGGGCGGGCCATTTTCGTGCAGGCCTCCGCGCTGGCCCTCTTGAACGGTGCCACTTGGCTGTTCCAACTTGTTGGCCTAGGCGGGCAGCGGTGAGACCTTTGGTACATCATTAATTTGTTCCACATGTTTTCATGGATGAGGATTAATGGGCAAGAGGGCAATAGCAATACCCCCAACTTCAAGATTTTCAAACCGACGCATTGACAAGGCAGATGTGGATGTTCTCATTAGTCACTTGCACCTGCCTTGTCAGCTTCCATTGCCTCGATTGGGCATTTGGTGACGAGCTTTGAGATACAGGCGGGATCCAACAGCTTTGCAACCTGATCATGATGCAACCAATTCCTCTAAAGTGCGACCGGATACAGCAGGTATGTTGCCATCGAATGCCATGGACACAACATTTAAATCTTTGGAGGTGATGGATAGGCTGCACAACATCCAAAGTCCTGACTACATACAGCAGCCAGAGCTGCTGTGCCTGGCTGGGGCTTGGGGCTCGGGGACATTTGCTGGTGTTCGCTACTTGCCACATCTTGCCACTACTCAAATCCTCTCCCTGTTTACCAGTGTTGAACTAGTTTAACTGAGGCTTTCTTAGCTTTGCTCGTGTCTTTCCCGTTCATGATGCTCTTCGACATCGTGCCGCTGGTCTCAGGTAGTTGTTAGCTGATTTAACTTGACCAGACAGCAGTGCTGTTCCGCGCAGCTTATTGCCCGAGGTCGGACTCAATTCTTTACTGCAGAACGATCCAAAAGATGAGGCACTTGAAGCTACATGGGATTATGCGGGGTTATATGGGATTGTGTGGGATTGTGGGCACTTTGCGAAGGCGGCTGGTTGATATATTTGATGATTCATTGGCAGAACAAATCAGAATAAAAGGCTTTTGAGCATTGAGCAAGGACAACATGCACAATTTGGAGGGCCTGTCCAACTGCCTGAAACACTCTACCTTCATAATATGCTTCTGGAACATGTAGCACAATGCGGATGGCCAAGAATTGGACACATCCCGCCATATCTGCTGAAATGGGGTCTGTTTGAACTCCCATGTAGCTTGATGCTGTGCCAAGCCTCCCTGACTGCTTCACCATGCACTGCTTGGCTCAAGCATGCTGGGGCTGCCACACAAAGGCGGCGATAGGCGTGGCATGAATTCATCGTTGGGAGATTCTGGGAGGGCAAGACTTTGGAATTCGCGCCCGTTGAAGCCATCTTGAAATATGTGCAAAGTGGGAATACACATTTCCATACATTTCCCATTCTCACACAACACGATGCTTTTCATGAATCATGATGTCCCTCCTGAAATCTCCCAACTCACCGTCTTTGCCAGGCCTCACTCACAATTGGATAGGAGCACTGGCGTGGGATGTGTTGAGTTGATCTCCCAGCCTTGGTGGGGTAGATGATGGTAGATTCCCTGGTAGATGCTGCAACCTTTGGCCATAGGAGCCATGCGCCGAAGAGCGTCAGAGCATCGTCATCCTCATGGGCACGGCCGTTTTTTAAGCCTGGCTCTCAGTGTTGGCAGGAGCGTACGGAGCACGATATGATGTAAGATGATATAAGAATAATATATAAGTATAAGTTCAGTATAAGTGTATATATATATGTATACGTGTGTGTATGTGTGTGTGCATACAACTTTGTTAAGATATACTCACATTTATTCTAAACTTCTCTTGATCAGTCTTGGGAGTTGTGTGGTCATTTTGATATAAACTGCTCACCATTCCTTGGCATCATATTAGAAGAAAGGGGTTGAAGAAGATTCCTGGCACTTCCCAGGCCGGAGCAAGCCGCAGCCTTCAGGCCATGGTTGCCGGCTTATGAGAGAATACCTTGCCATACCTGATTGCTCCGTTTTGCTTTTAATAACGGGAAACAACTGTGACATTTCAGTAGGTTGCCAATGGTTGACAGACAAGATCCATACCAATCAGCAGGCCATTGGCTTTGACGGCTTTGACTGGTCTGGCCTTGGGCATGCTTGGGGCAGACCAGCCTCTCAGCACGATTTTCTCGGCCGAACCGTGAGCGTCACAAGGGATGAAGTCTGCAGAACAGGAATGATAAATCAGCAATGAAGTTAGCCTTATGTTCTCCTCAATAGCTTGTTCTAATGATTTTTAAACTTGCAAAAATGCAAAAAAAAGGAAAAACACATGGAAAATCAAAAAGCAAAACTTCAAAACTGAAAAAAAAAACGGAAGCAAAATAAATGGGGAAAAAAAGGAAAGTCGAAAAGGGAAAAACATGGGCAAAAAATGGACTTGTCCATTTGACGTTTTTTGCATTTATTTTGCTTTTTTGATTTGCTTTTTTTAAAACTTTTATTTTGCATTTGTTTTGCCTTTTTCCAGGCAAAAAGCAAAATACATGCAAAAAAAACAAATTGAGAAAACAACTGCAAAAAACATCAAATGGACAAGTCATTTTGTTTTTCCCTTTTTGACTTTTTTCCATGTTTTTTCCCTTTTATTTTGCTTTTGTGTTTTTTGAATTTTGCTGATTTGGTTTTTGTTTTTTCCGTTTTTTTTTTGCATTTGTCTTGGGTTTTTTCAAGTTTGTTGATTCTTAGAATAAGCTATGGTCTGGTGAACATAAGGCTAGCCATATCAGTCCAACTGCTAGTCCTGGGAATGATCAAGGCCTTGACATCAACTGATGCAACGGAAGAGAGAAAGAGAGAGAGAGGGAGCGGCTACGCCCAGCGAGAGAGAGAGAGAGAGAGAGATGGAATGATATTGACATTTGTCCCACCTGATTTGGAGTTTGACTTACTGTAACCTGGGGATCGCAAGTTTGTTGCACTCGACACATTGCCAGCCTGCATGAGGATCAGACATGGCCGCAAGCTGTCGAGGAAATCGCGCAGAAATGTGACTTGGTGTAGGTGGAAAGTATTTCTCCAGTCCGCAGTCCTGTCCCATGTATAAACCTTGGTTGGGTAAAACAGATGAAATATGATGAAGTGCATTTTTGAAAGGCATCAGCCACGATTACGCACCATCATTGTTTTGTGTTGTTTTCCCACAACAACTAGGGTCATTTGATCCGTTTCGTAGATTCACCGCCCTCGAATGATAGGTCAACCATTTGGGTGCGCTCAGGTTTGTGTCTCGATCCATTGGCGGAGATGGCGAAGGTGGACCATTCCGACCGGCTTCACCGAAGGTTCATAGGTGGAAATATAATTAGTTTGAAAGTGGTTAGTGGCGCGGTTATAGCTAAAAAAATACGTGTCAAGATTGCCAAGATGCCAAGTTTTCTTGATGTTTCCAGATTGTCCTTGCTTCTTAGCGTCGTAGCAAGAGCTCCCATGCCATGCTGTCAACGCTGTCCGTGCTTCCAGAAGCACACGTGCCAGAGCTGCAGCCAGGAGTGTTAGCCGCCAAGCAAGTGCAGCAGCTTGTCTTGGCGATAAGTGCTTTTGTGGGACTCGAATGTGTGCCTGAGATAGGTTGATATGGTCCGTTTGTGCAGAGAATGCCACATGCTGATAAAGCTGATGTAGTGTTGGTGCAATCAGATGCCAGGAGACTACTGAATTAACCAATGATAGCAACTTTTGACCCTATGTTTTCCACTGCATTCTAAGTTTGATGTGATATCATATCATTATTTTATATATCTAACCCTGGCCTTTTTCATCCCCAAATCAACGGTTCATCAATGGTTCATCGGCTTTGTCCGAAAATAGAGAAAATACCCAACACCACCAGGGTTTATCAATATTTTGCTCATTAAAATGCAATTTCCGGGGCAGAGCATGGTATACCCTATTTTCAGACTCAGACACACCCATATCATATTGTTGATTGACTAATTATATCCCATCAACTATCCCCAGTGTATCCCCACCTTTTGATCCCACATGTAATTAACATCTTGCCAGCATGCTGTCGGGAAATTAGCAGAAAGAATAGATAGAGTCAATTTTAGATTATAGCATATTATAGCTGAAGGCCCATTGCGGCAATAGACTGGTTCCCAAATGGTTCCCTTCCGCAAAAACATATATCCGCCCCAGCATCTCCCAGCAGTTCCAGGCCCAGTTGTGGGAGATGACGGAGGCTGTGGCGGACGCCTTGGAACGTGCCGAGATTCGCCTGATGGAACGCGCGGAGTTGGGCGTGGCGGGCGAAAGCTCCATGGGAGCCCTCGGATCCATGGCGGCCTCGATGGCAGAGGCGGCACTGCAAAAGAGAAGACCCATAGGAAAACTGCAAAACATGACGAAAACTCCATAGTTTGATCATGTTTGATATGGGAACATGGATGAATATGGGCTAATCTAGTCTACACGATTTCTATTGGCCTACATTGTGCCTTGAAATTGGCGAAATTGATGATAAACACTGGGTCTTGGGGTGGCATTTGCCACAGATCCAAACAGTATTCTTGTTTTTTTTTTTTTTGAACTTGGGGATGATGATCAAAGTTGGCTTATTATAGTCATAGTACGAATAACATCACATAATCATTATCGATCAGAATCATGTCTGACAATCAATGTGGAGGGCCTAGTGTCGAACGATATGATCAATTAAACAAATACGACAATTATGATCAGTCAAAACATATTCACAATCATGCCAAATTGCCAATATCAACGACGAGAATCAGAGTTACCAGCCCGTGACAATAACAACTATAATGATGTATAACAACAACAACAACAACAGCAACAGCAACAGCAACAGCAACAGCAAGAGCAACAACAACAGCAACAACAACAACAGCAACAGCAACAGCAACAGCAACAACAACAACAACAAGAACAACAAGAACAACAAGAACAAGAACAACAGCAACAGCAACAGCAACAACAACAACAACAAGAACAACAAGAACAAGAACAAGAACAAGAACAACACCAACACCAACAGCAACAGCAACAGCAACAGCAACAACAACAACAACAGCAACAGCAACAACAACAACAAGAACAACAAGAACAACAAGAAGAACAAGAAGAACAAGAAGAACAAGAACAAGAACAAGAACAACAGCAACAGCAACAGCAACAGCAACAACAACAACAAGAACAACACCAACACCAACAGCAACAGCAACAGCAACAGCAACAGCAACAACAACAACAACAACATATAATAATATTGATAATATATATATATATATACACGTGTATATATATAATACAGTCATATACAGTCATCATAGTCAATTAGTACGACAATCCTGATCAATCATCATGATAACCGCTGGCCCTGGGGCTCAGCCATTGGTTCCATAGGCCAGCGGCGGCCTTGCCACAACCGCCGAGACCGCTGCGGTGACGCTGGCAGGCCTCGAGGCGGATACGGCCTCTTGGTGGCGCATGGGGAGTAGGGCCTTGGAGAAGACTCCAGGCTATAAATGACTGTAAATAATGCTTAATAAAGCTTAAGAATTGTTAATAATGGAATTTCAATGAATTTCATGGGGTATTCATGGGATATTCATGGGATATTAATAGGGCTTTACAATGGGGATGGTTTATTTCATGGAAAATCCCGTATTAAAATGGATGATCACTGGCGGCACCATGGATTGGAAAGCTCCAAATGATGGCCACATAGTGGATGGTACCAATCCCAATGGATCCAAAATCATGACCCATATCCAATTTAAGTGTCCAATTGTCAAATACATTGTTGAACATTTGGGGGTATGGTAAAAATCGTTGGGTACACACTTACACGAGAGGATCAAGCTCCATGTCTTGTTTTGGATTGGGGATGGTTTATGATTTGGGTTTGCCACATGACATTTCTAGAATGTGCAGGATTTGAATTTGTCAACAGACTGAAGGCTTTTGTTTGGCCTGCCTGGCTGCCTGCTATGTTTGCTAAAATTCTTGAGCAACAAACAAGGTTCTTACAGCATCTGCAGTTGCTGCAATTGCAGCTTTTGCTGCGAGGACGGACAAATTCCCGTGTAGCCGGGAGTTTTGGAGACCAAACCACATGGCAGGAAGATTTTTTTTCCTTCCTTAGGGGTTTTGCAGGTTCGGAATGGTGGTCGAAACAATTCTGGGTTTGTTTGAACATATAGGCTGCCCCCAAATCTCATGATTGATCATCATTTTTTCCAGCAAGATTGTAATTTTGCACAAAATTAATAAGCATATGCCCCGCTGATTTCATGATACGTGTGATCCGGGTGAGGAGCGCTGCAAAGAAGCGCATGGCTGAGTGGGAGGTCGCTATGGAAGAGCGACTCTGATGCAGGTGAATGCCCGGCCGCAACGGCCTTGGCACCGTTTCAAAACATAGACATGTCATGACATGTCCAGAAATGGTGAATACGCCCAAAATTCATCAAAATTCAATTTTCATGGGGAAATAAATTGGAAATAATATAAGGAAGTTTGGGGTAACCAATCTTTAGAATGGCACGCGGAATCACAAGAAAGAACGGCTTCCACGTGTCAAGGAGCACACGTGAAGTCCAAACAGGGCCCAGCAATTACTCATAAGTGTCTCAAGACGGCTGCGTGCAATTAGGGCATGCCAAGCTGTCTATTTTTCTTACCAACAAAACATTGACCATGGACCCAAGGGATGCACACGTGGCCCACCTACAGCAAGCTTGGCGGGCAGTCCTGCGACAACATCCTGAAGCAGTGGGGCAGCTCATTCCGGTGGTCTATTGGATTCAATCATATTCAATCATATTCAATTGGTGTGGTAGACCCAGATTGAAGGACCACATCTTCTTTCGGCCCGAATTGAGTTCTTCAATCTATTTTTTGTGTGCTTCATTGACATGTCTAATGTCATGACAATGGTAATAACATGCAATAACACTTCTGTGCAAGTATGTTGATAGGAGATGATTGTGCTTCCTTTCTGCCTACCACCCTGATCAAAGTCCCTCTTACAGGAGCCACCTTCGATGGGTTTTTCTTTTCCTCCTACCACCCTTACAGTACATGATCCGACTCATAGTGACTGGCATTATGGAATGCGATGATTCAGTGTAGAACGCGGCGCCAGATGTGCCACAGTAGCACCTACTAGGACCTACTACATACTTGCCCACTAACAGACTGGAAGCGGCTCGGCGTTGGAGTTGATGAATTGCCTGAGGTTATAGAGGTTTAACCAGCCATAACCAGCCGAACATTTCTGAGTCGACTTGCTGTGAAGGTCCTGGAAGCCAACTTTTTGGGTCAGCCCTTCGGATGTGAGCAGGTGCTGTCATGGGCAGACACGTGTCGGAACAGAGGTTCTGAATCTGGCTGTTGCTGCTGTGAACCATGAACAAATGTGATGCAATACGTGTGTATCATATAGTTGCGCAAGTGTTCCTAACAGGCATATGAACCATACAGAACCTGAACTCTGTATAAATGTACTAACATTGCAAAATAAGGTCGATAGGTTTGATCACATGATGTCTCTTTCGGCCTGCTTTTCTTACCAGGTGAAGCAGCGCTGGCCACGGCTGGTGCAAACCCTTGGTATCTCGGAGGATCAGGTGCCTTGATTTCGATGTGCAGATGGAGAATTTACCGCCTAAGTCATGGAAATTTGATGCATTTGAAAGGGGCATTGAAAAACACTAGACCATACTCGTAGTAAGCGAGATTAAACAATGCAACAATGTTATGGAATATGTTTGGGATACTGCAGTAGGTTATACTCACATTTTATGGCATTTTATGGTAATCTTAAGGAAGAAAATGATGGCAATCACATGGTGAAACACGGGTGCATTCGATCTTGATGGCAGGCACTGAAGATTATCGAGATGGATGCGACCCCTCTGTTGGTAGCTAGATTTGCACTGAATTTGATCCCGGTCCCGGTGGCCAGATTGGGCATGAATATCCCAAAGCATTGCATTGAATTGCAATGATTCAATGTACCTTGCATGCTCCGGGCAGTAGTGGACCAGTGGACCAGCCCTTGTATACATTACCTGTCAACTCCCAAGTTTTGGCCATGTTCTTGCAAGAGCCGGTGTTTCACGGGCCCCCTATCAACAAGGTTTGTTGTTTGTGACTTGATGTTCCCTGAGTTTCGCAAAAAGTGGCCAAGAACCAACATCCCAGTTTAAGGCATGCGAATGTATAGAGTGCCAACACCCATATTTGATCATATTTGCATTTAATATAACTATCCTAATATGTATTGATATTTACTGTAATATTTATTAATATGTATGGGAAAGGACAACATAGGTCGTTTAGTCGTTTTCCACTGGATAGGTAGTTACGCCGTTACGCCCCCCAGATCTCCGCTTCTCAGGTCGAGTCTGATTCGGTGTCCGAAGTCCTGGCGCGTTTGGCGGCCATCAGCTCGCGTGAAAAGGCCGAAGGGATTTCTTATGGGATACCCATGGATACCCCATGATACCCTCTGGTAATTTAACATAGCTATTGAAAATGACCATTTATAGTGGATTTTCCCATTAAACATGGCGATTTTCCATAGCTATGTTAGTTTACCAGAGGGTACCTCCCCTCATTTCCAATGGTTTATCATGGTTTATCTATGTTTATCTTGTTGTGTACCATTAATGTACCATGAACAATGCCAGAAATTATGGGGTATGAATGGGTATTTGATGTTTATGATGCAGATGTCAGTTATGGAAACACTTTAGCGGTCAGATTCTTAAAGATCCTTAAACATGCTACAGAGGCATCTTTTGCTTTCGATCGCTACACGTTTTGACGTAGGAATGATTTGATATTTTGCCACTGTTCATGTTGTGAACCTTATGTGGCAGGCGTTGGAACTGGTTGGCCGCAGTCCGTCTTTGCTGGTTGGTGGAGCCATGAACGAGGCATGGGTGGCTGAGAGGAAAGAAACACAGGTGAGAGATTCATCATTCTGCATTTTTTTTGGGGGCAGGTCTAGGATTGATATTCATCCCCACCGAATCCACGATTCAACCACGGTATAGCCGTTGTCAAACAACATATTTTAGTTTCCTGAGTGCCATTCTGCTGGGCCAGGCCACTGGAACGAAAAACCTGGCTGCATCCACCTTGATTGATGTGCTATATGCCGGGCGCTTGTATCGGGTCTTTGCCTCAGAGATTGCTGCGTTTTCGCTGCAGCGGCTGCCGGGCTTGCCGCAGCATGAATTTTCTCAGGTCCTTGAAGAGGAGGGCCGCGACAATGAGGGCAAGCTGAGGGAAATCGAGTTGTTGCTTGACTTAACCAAAGAAAGGAAAGATATCCTGGGGTTCCATGGGTTTCCATGGTCTCTGTGCATTCTGAGCCAGCAGTTTCTGTTTTCATCACCAGCTGTGGATGAACTGGGAGGCTTTGTGATACCATCGGTTTTCTTTCAAGTTGAATGATTATCGGGTAGTCAGAAGGGAGCGATTGGAGCCAAGGAGCTATAGAAAAATATAGAAGAGTCGAAGAGTTTCCCAACCACATGATTGATGGTTATGAGATGTTCATTTCCGTTATAATTTGTTGAATTTTATTGGGAGATTATACGCTCATTGATCATCTTTGATCATTTTTGCTGGTTCATTCTCGAATCACAAAATTGCAACAGTTGTAACAGCAGCTAACAATTACCCCAATTATTGTTGGATTAGATCATGTGTAGATATGTGTAGATCATGTTATATCTCACTAATTCCATCTAATTCCCATGTGTATCACATGGATCCCCGTATTCAATGAGGAATATATATTAGGGATAACTGGGATAACAATGATGAGAATTAGCTATCTCCATCTATCTCCCATTTCTCATTATTTCTCATTAATCCATATTATCCATCAATGTTTGATTTGATGAGGTACGCGCAGCTGTTATCTGCCTTCCGACCCTGTGTGGACCTGGTCCTCTCGGGCCTCACGGCCCGGGATGCGACAGATGCGACACGACGCATCTTCCGCACTCTGCAGGCGGCATGTGGCACGTGGCACAACATTGTGGAACAGTCTCAAAGGCAAACATTCGTTGTGGATAGTTTCTGAATGTTTTTGATATTTGTAGATAGTTTTGGATGATTTTGGGGATATTTAGGGATTAGCAAGTGTCAGGTCTGAGTTTGTCACTGCATGTCACTGCACATCGTCAATGATTTTCAAGCATTTTCCAGTATATTGGGGCTGTTGTTCGCAGATGTATACATATACACGGATGTTTTATAAAGTTTAGTTCGAGAATGAGGGAGTCTCGGATGCTGTGCTGTGTCAATGGGACAACACCTGACAGGAGAGCGCGCCGAATGAATCCATTCGGGTTTTGCTGCAGCGTGTTGCAGATCCTTGGCAGACTTCGGGTCAACATGTCCCATCCAAGCCCAAAAACTGATTAAAAGGGGTTGACAAGACCAAATATTCATATACATACATATTCAAAAACGACCCATCCGGTGGGCATTGGTATGTATGTATATATATATACACAATATAATGTAATGCATATAATACATATGTATGTACATACACACTGTATATATATATATATATATGTGTGTGTGTATTGATATACCACTCAATATACCACACATGTTGATCAATTGACCAATTGACGCGTGGCTAGCCATCTAGCTGCTTGCCCGCACTAGGATGCCTCAGATCCTTGGGCATATCTGGCAGATCAGACCCGAGCAGGTTTCAATATCGGAGGAAGACTCGTTCCTTGGATTTGCGAATGGCATCGCTTTGCTTTTCGCTTTTTCGGCGCTATGTGGTTAATGATAATTAGTCACTATTAGTATATTGTTGTTCTTGTTATTGCTTGTTATTGCCATTGTTGTTGTTGTGATTTATTTTTGTTTCTTGTCACCATTATATACATTATTCTCACTTGTATTTGTTAGTCAACCAACATTAAATACCGGCCCATATGTATGCCATCGTTGCTGTGCAGAAATGTCTGGAAATATTGTGTTTCCCACGAGGGGGAGGAAATGCGCTTTGCCGATGCATGCATCATAGCAATCACCATAAGAATTCGGCATCACCAGCCCCCTCACCCATCACCCATCACCCATCACCCATCACCCATCACCATCACCATAAACATCACCATCACCATAAACATCACCATCATCATCATCATCATCAGCATCACCATCACCATCATCATCATCATCATCATCACCATCCTCCTCCTCCTCCTCATCATCATCATCATCATCGTCATCTTCATCTTCACCGTCATCTTCATCTTCACCTTGAGCTTCACCTTCATCTTTATCGTCATCATCAGCGTCATTATCATCATCGTCAGCATCACCGTAAGATCATCAGCATGATCAGCATTTTTATCATTTGAGATTGATTGATAGTGTCTAGCCAAAATAGTTGGGTAGTTTTTTCTGCAATTTCCACGGTAGGTTTGCCATACACACTACAGTACTACTGGATAGGAACTAAAGATAACTATAGTAGAAATCCAACAATCACAGAGATTTCAGTGCCAAAATGCAACATTACGATTGCAGCTGCACGTCGTGCACATTGTCCACACAGTACAGGGTGTCAAACCATTTTACCCTCCCGTACTCAAATATAGCTGGGAAATCCGCTATAAATGGAGGTTTCATCATGGCCATGCTTGATTACCAAAGGGATCCAAAGGGTAAACATCATTCAAACACTGCGCACGTGCGGACCAGGCGTTCCGTCCGGCGTTGACCAAGAAGATTTTGCCGCGGCTCGGGAGAAAGTGAAAGCGTGAAACCGATCAGTTTTTGGTAGTTAGTTGCGTTTTGGGTCATCGCAGAAAAGGGAGAAACTACAGATGGAAACTGAGGAAAATGCGGAAACTGATGGAATTCCTCTGCAAGCTGCCATTTTGATCCATTTTGATAGGGTGAAGCATGTGAAGCCACCGATCTGAGGCATTCCCAGTCTATTGTCACCCACCTGCCGTCCATTTACACACGGCTCTCCATCCTGGGACCGCACGTGCCAAGTATCTTGGATGATGGCAGCTGCCTATTGGGAAACCGCCGTGGTTTCCCTTCTACCCGTCACAGCATGATGCATCCCATGTTCTTTGCGAAAATGAATGTAAATCCGTTACCTATCACATATATATATATATATTATATAATATTTATTATACATTAGATTATGTTTTACATACATATTATAATATAATTACGTACGTATTTATCAATGCATTTAAGTGACTATGACTTTGCTGCCGGCCATTGTCCTGCTATCACTCGGCTCGGTGCAAAAATGGGTAGACTCCTGTAGATCAGTCCAGGCATTGTGCGGATTTTGGACCAATACCTCGACATCGTTGAACCACACCTAGATCGAATCATGGAACGAATGGACCGCATCGAGCCACATTTGCCCTACATTCTGCTTCATTTGGTGCCTGGGCTGCGGCCTGATCCTGCTGCTCTTCTGTCATGTTCTCGCTTTAGGGTTGGATACAAAGTCTATCAAAGTTTCAAGGGCTTCGGCTTTGCCACACCGTGCGATTTAACGGTAGTTGGAGAAACCATCCTGATGTCCTGATTCTGCATATACTGGTCACTAGTCGAAAGCGGTTTCAAGCTTTGTCCGGCACTGATTAATACTGACTGGCTTTGGCGCTCAGTGGTCCGTGCTCAAGAGGGATAGCTCGTTAAAAATTCACGACATTTTGCCACGAGTTTTATCACTCACGAGTATTTTTGCAACCCAAACTGCTTCGAAAACAAGTTAAATCAGGAAACTTCGAGCACACTGGAACATCACTGAGTCGGAAAATGTATGGAAATGTGATGCATTTCGCATCATTTCGCTCTCAGGATGTTTTGGCAAAGCATTGTGGCGCATTGCTGGATCATTTCGATTTGCTGATGCCGTACGCAGAGCTAGGCCATTTGGCAAAGCCTGTTGAATCCGGTTGGCTCTGGGCTCTGAACTTCATTTTGACATAGGACATACCCTCTGGTTATGACTAAATAGCTATTGAAAATGACCATAGAAATAGTGGATTTTCCCATTAAAAATGGTGGATCTTTCCATAGCTATGTTAAATTACCAGAGGGTAGGCTACTTTGGATACCAAAATTCATGTACATCTGGGATATCTGGGCGAAAAACATAGCACTTCCTGAATCATCCTGAATCCACAGTTTCCATTTCACTGCTGCAGTAGCAGAACAAGAATTCCAACAAGGGACTCCAAGTTGTACTTCTTTGGATCCGTCTTGTCTCATCTTGCGTCCCGATGTCCGCCATGCTCTATGGCTACTTTGACTCATTGAGTCACTTAAGATTTTGTTCAGACAGCACAAAATCAGCAATTCTCCAAGATTCTCCAAAAAGCTGGTGAATGATGTGAATGCCTAGCGCGGCACAATGCGGCACAGGTCGGAAGAAGACCAACCCGGAACTTGAGCAGTGCTTTGATGAGCCACGGATCGAAGCAGTCGAGGCCAGCAGACACCCTGGTTTTTTGACAACCGTGTCATGTCAGGCGCACATGGTCCATGACTCACAGCTTAAAATCATCCATCACCCATACGAAGTTATTAATTTTGTATATATACACAATTACACACACATAACACACACATATATATATATAATATCATATGATATAATCTAATATAATATATAGTATAATACATATAGAATCATATATATATATACATATCACACAATTGAAAACCATGGTGTTTGCTCCCCAAGATCACCAAGAATCATGGAGTTGGAGCAAAATACTCTGGCTTCGACAGGAATGTTTGGTGGACAACCTCACAGATGGCTGGGAGGGAAACTCGGCCCTGATTTTGTTCCTCAGATTTACTCCGAAAACTTGAAACACTATATATATATATTACATATTAGATATATATATATATTATATCTCATATATATATATAGTATATATTATCTCATATATATATATATATATGCCACACAAGGTTTCTGATTCTTAACATCCAAACACAATTGGCGTGACGCAGACGTGCAACACAGCGAGCACGATATCACATTTCCTCCCTATTTCATGTGCCTTGGAGTACTCAGGTGCAGCAAGAGTGGAGGACATGCTTTGGCTTTTGCTGTTTGGCCTGTTCAAGCAAGTGCTTGAGTAAATGATATCCTGTGCAAATGGCTTTGCATTGTTCCATTGCATTTGCTACAATTGTTACATATCCTATGCAAAATTTAGGATGTGGTGCAACTAGATTCTAGATTTTGTTGCTGGACACTCAGTTCAATGACATTCAATGCATGCTCGTGGCAAGGAGAACTCGTATCTTCCAAAGCTGCTGCCTTACGTTGATTTTTTAGTTCCAAATTTGGATGAGCTTGCTCCGCACTTGCCATTGGCTCACCCGACCCTTGTCTGCAATTTAGACAAGCCAAGTCAAGCAAACTTACCGGAACAATGCCCGCCTGACCCTTGCTGATGGATGTTGATGGTGTGTTTAAGGATGAGGTTACATAGACGATTCAAACATAGTTTATAAAAGTGGTTGAATGGGGATCATCGCTTAATCCAAATATGGGAATCCTCCATCAGTTCACAGCTACGGCAGCTACGAGCTGAGGCACATTCCGTATGTCTTGCCTTACATGGACGACTTGCTTCCATACATCAAGCGTTTTACGCGCTTTACGGAGGCGGGTCGACAGACACCCCTTTGGAGTGGCAGGGAACTCCTGAAGTTTTGTAACGTCAACTTAAACCCGTTTAACCCCAAAGGAAGAAAAAAACACAGCGCAAACTCCAATCCAGTAGCCGTGACCCGTTTGCAGGTCTCTAAAAATGCAGACGTCCTGGTTGGATATCTTGCTTGGCTTCTGCGAGTACCTCTAATTCCAAGGCAAGATTTTTGTCAATTTTTCGTGTGTTGGGAGATAACCCTCACAAACCATCACAAACCTGGGTTTCAAGCGTGCGGTTTTTATTCAGTCAATGCCATCGCTGCAGTGCTGAGGAATTGAACACATCGCTGAGTTCTACGGGTTTATGGCTATTGACCCCACATGCTTCACTGACGTGACATGCAATTGGCAATCCGTCTCCACAACCCGGCTTCCATACCAGGTTGTTTAGGATCGTTTGAAATGAAACATATATTATATAATAAGACATTTACAGTAACACAGTAATACATTATAATGCACAAAGAGGTCAAACCTCTTGGATCTTGAGAAGAACAAACAGGTCAAACAGATGCCCACTGTTTTTAGGGTTCAAGGCCCCCTTCCTGTATCGGAGTTGTTCAGGATCTTGAACCTGCCACTGGTGCCGCGTCTCATCGCTTGGATTAGTGGTCGTTTGCCGTGTGATGCTCAGCCCGGCGGGGGATGGCACGGCATTTTCCGTGGTAAATGATGGAATGATGTGAGCGGAAATCCATGGAAATCACCCCAAGATGATCTTATTTCAGGATAAAATCAAGTTGGTGAAGTGCGGCCATTGAAGGCAATTGACCAGAATTTACGCCAGTTTTTAGGCCGACTTCCATTGATTTCCAATGATGGACTGCAGTGACTGCCAGATAGCCATAGCTGCATTTCAAGTCTTTTTGCAATGATTCAGGCGAAGATTTGTGCGAGGACTTGTGGCAACTTCACAACTTGTGCGATACATGAGTTGATCTGTAAAATGAGGGAATATTCTCAAAATAGCAATGACAATTTCAAGATTTAAAAAAAGGAACATTCGGAACACCTGAGAAACTGATGATATATAAATCATCGGATTTGGGGGTGCCGGCTTATTTTCAGACAAACCCATGTCAATTTGTTTTGCGAACCCGCCATACCAACTGGCTGGAGGGAAAATGAAACCAGCCCAACACCTGGATGGCTGAGGGAAAACCCCCCCAGCTTTGAGGGCGCTAAGGGAAAATGAACCTGGCATCCAAACCGCCAACTTTTACCCACAAGGTCCCTCTTTCGGGGAATCTGCTTCTGGAGAAACGTTGCCAACGATGTGGATGATGTGGTGAAGCTTGTGGTACACGGGATGACGGATAGTTTTAGCGATGGATATATATATATATATAGACTCATAGGCTTTCGTAGATCCCGGTTTCTCAGCCCTAATGACAATTGAATTGAATATACTTGGTTCTTTGGTACCTTCTTATAGAGGGGTTTCCTCTTCTGCCCAGATATGGATTATTCATGATATGTCATGATATGCCTACATATGCCCTGCAGGAAGATTGGAGAGGATTCGTAAGCGCTATGAAAAAGCGCATCCCACTGAATGACCACTGCAGGTGGGCCAGGACAGCCCAGACATTGATGTGATTTCAGCCTGCAATAGTTTGAACAGATGCCCTTAACCCCTTATAGAAGCAAGATTTGCCCCTCAGGGACACATCCCATGAGATCAAACGGAACATTGTTAGTAATAGATTTAATAGATAATAACAGAGACGACTCAAGATTGATGACATGACATGAATGGTGGTCAGACATTTGCCTGAAACTGACAGGGCCCACGGACAAACTGCACCAATTTGCCACAAGTTTTTAAGATGCTTGATTCGCCATACGCAGGGCTCGGCTGGTGAACATTTCTGGTATGTGAGAGCTTGGGCAGATGAGTCTTGCTTTTTAACATGCTTTAACCTGTCACTGTTTTACCAAAAAAGTCAGTACCTATCAGTGCCAATACAAGACTACTTGATACTCATTATTTGACTAGTCGATATTGACCGCATCAATTGAGTCTGATCGAGTCCTTTCTATCCCGTGATGAAGAACTAGAAATGAACCGCCAGCCCTGTATGTGGGATGAAGGAGCTGCTGAGCTTGTGTGAAGTCAATATTTGACTTAAGGATGTTTCAGATTTCTGCTTGTTTGCTGCTTGCAAGCTTGGCTTTCTGCCTATCACGAATCGGAGAAGCACAAGACAATTCTTTCGTATCCGTCTTTGCCTGTCAGCAAGCGCTGTCTGAGGATCAGCAGGATTCAGTCTTTGCATCTATGTATCTAACACCAGCTCACCACCCGATTATATTAATATAACATGAAATGAGTTTATAGATTTTAAATTGCAAATATATAGATTCAAATGGTTCAGCACCTCTTTTTTTTTCTCCATTTTTTTCAACATTGCACATGTTTGGCAAGCCGGGACCCCAGGCTTTGTTTTGTTTAAATCTGGGTGTTCAAGAAATGAATCTTGCTCGAAGGCTTTTAACGCCATTTGCTTGGGGTGACCATCAGCAGAATGGACGATTTATAGCCCTGCTCAGACAAATTCAAAAAATGCGTGCATTCTGAGTCTGCAAGTTCTTTGTGACTTGTGAGGTGGTTGCAGTTGCTGTACAATAATGGCTGGCTAGAAGGGGTCAAGATTCGCTTGAGCATGATGAATACTCACTAAATCAATCATTGATTAATCAACGTCGCTTAATCATGCACCATTGTCACTAAATCATCAATCATCATCAATCATTATCCTCCCAAAAGGCAGGCCAATGCAAACAAACAATCCTGTATTTCGGAACCCTCGTCTTGTTCTCAAGCAGTTTGGGCAACAACCGTTGCTATAACCTCAAAGAGCAAAGCCGATCCAAGCCACTTATGCACCATTGCCAGATACACTGTCTGACATTCTTTGGATCCTGTTGATGTCACACCGGTGAGGCATCAAGCAGCATCGACGTTCAAGAGCCAGGCGGTCGCAGAGATTGACCGTGCTTGTGGGCAACTGGCTTAGCTATAGTCAGCTTGGCGGGGATCAGTTCGGCACTGCTTGGGGTTGGCCAGTCCGTTTCGAGGGTTGCCTTGCCTTGCCAACCGCAGCATACCGCAGCAATTTGGCCGAGGGTTGACCCTGGTCCCTTCGTGAAATTCCGGGAAGGATGGCTGGAATGGCCACAGATGCCATGATGCCAGAAGATTTCCATGTATTGAAATGCAATTGGGCGAGCAAAGACGCTTGCATTGCAACCTGAGTGTTTTGGTGTTTTAGCGGAAATGCATGTTTGGATTTTGATGAAAGATCACTGGTGAAGGTCCAAGTGAGCGTACCAGCTCCTACCACAAGCCAAGGATGGCGACTGCAAGAACGCCACCGATGCTCAGTGTTGGATCACGTCCTGTCAGCACGTCCTTTGTGACGAACATGCCAGGCTGGCCTTTGCCAACGGCGATTCTTGCCCAATTTGTGGCTATGATGGGGCCAAGGTCATGCGTGTGTCCAGGGAGGGCCGTGATCAAGCCAGAAAAGGTCTCTTACCAGGCGAGTCATGATGTTTTTCGTGCATGCTTTGCAATTATTTGCTTTGTTTGTACCTGATACTCGTAGTTCTTTCAAGCAGCTTGTGTGTGGCAACCCACTGGTGTTCGCGAAGATCGTGTGGCACAGGTTTGACACCATCCGAGATTATGGACTCAGCGGCTCGGAACATTGAATTTTGGGTAACTTGACTTCAACCAGCTTAGCATGATTCAAGAATACATGTTAAATATTGTTAAATATATATTATCAAATGTATTGACATATTTCAGATGTTTGAAAGATGCCAAACCTTGAGCATGTTGAGAAAAACAGACCCACAATGATGATATCAATGATCCACATCCACTCAGCTGGCAGGTTCGACAGAAAGCCTTGGAATGCGAGCAACGCCATGAACGCTGCTTGCAGATGGAGAAGCGCTGTGAAGAGATGTCGAAGTTGGCGGAGGAGCAAATGCAAACCTATCAGATGAAGTGTTTCTTGATGGAAAAGGCACCAGATTTATGATTTATCAAGATGCCTATGAATGTCTATGATAAGTTGTAACTTGTGATTGCTTATGACATGTCCTTATCGGTTGTATAATGTTGTGTGGTCCTATTGTCCTTTCGTCACAGTTCATTTTTTTATGCCCAGACGACTCCTTGCCGAGGTCAACAGATGGAAGACATGCAGCTGGCGTTGCAAAAGAAGCTCGATGTCTTGGAGGCTGACCGAAACAGGGCACAACTACGAATCCAAACCTTGCAGAAGGATTGCTCCCCTGCTGCAGAGAGATTTGCTGCATTGAAATGCTATGAAATACTATGGTTGAACTAATGTTTTTGCCGTTCATATACATACAAGTACATACAACGATATACTTTTTGCAGACAGATATGCTACACATGTATAAACACTCAATAAAAACTAAAGAAAAACAAGTTGAAGAACTTGAGGATTTGCCAGATTTGCCACCTCCTGGAGCAGCATGTTCCAGATGTGGCCGGAAATACCTCCAGTCTGCGTTGCGCTTCTCAACGTGCAATCTCAGGTTCCGAAGCAGAAATGCGATATCAACATGTGCAGAGGCAAATTTGTGAGCTTGAGGGAGTGCTTCGCACATCCACAAGCAAGCTTGCAGGCCGAAACAAGTTCTGCTCCAAATTTCAGTTATTACTGTAAGTGAAAGTTGCAGTTGTGTTAAATGTGTTTGAAGCCGAAGGCATTTTATGGTTGATTGCACTGTTATCGCTATATTATTTACTTTACAGCATCAACACACAATAACCTACAGAACTTGGAACAGATGGACATGTGCTTCACCCATGGCATCATCCCCGTCCAGGCTTGCAAACCAGACCAGCTCCAAGCCTTCCGATTTCCGAGCGCCATGAACGACATGAACGACATGAACGACCGGAGCGCCATGATCCAGGCAAGTCCTTGAATCTGGAAGGTGCTTGGCGTGGATCCACGTCCATGTCACCAGGCCCACCCATGGGTGCCACGGGTGCCATGGGTGCCATGGCTATGGCCATGGGGCACTTCAGCCAGCCCCGGAAGGAGGTGGCTCCAGGCAGCCCCAAGCGTGTGATGCAACCACCTCCACCCCGCTTCACTCCTGGCTATTTGAGTTCTGCTCGGATGACCCGACGTCGAATCACATAGGGTGACAGCCTGTGAGAGCCAATTTGGATCAATTTGGATCAAGTTGGTGGCTTAGCTGTTTTCAGCCTGTGGTATTGATCAATATTGATCGATTGGGAGCACCATGCTTCATTAAATATTTAATTCAGTAGTCATCAGCGATGCCAGGAGACAGTATCATTTTCAGTCATTATCAGCTGCGTTCCTGGTTGTGCAATTTGGATTTGCCGGTTGAAAGCTTGTCTATTCTTCCAGCATTCGGCAAGCTGCTGCAGAAAGACATTGGCCAATCCTTGTCTGAATTCATGGCAGCATGTGGGAAGACTAATCGGACGACTTCGGACGGCCACAGGCCCTTCCGTGATAGTGGGAAAATGATGCTTCAAACCTCATGCAATCAGATGGCCCGGAAATTTGAAAGCGATGATGGTTGTCATGTTGAAGCCCCACACATACAGTAAGATTATGTTGTTAGCAAGTGGCAGGTAGTGCAGCAAAAGCCATGCTGGCATCGTTTTCACGATGCGCGTTCATCATGCACGCTTGTGCACTTTCTGGAACCGCAGCATGCCTTAGGCCCAGTGGGAACCCTGCTGGACAGCTGATCCTACACAGCACATGACCGGCAGTGCGATGCAGTTTCAAGTTATATGTATATATAATTATATCATATGCGTCAGCAAACTCAACGGTGACTTGTGTCAAGAACCATCAGTATCATGCATCAGTCATCACGATAGCCCCCCTGCTGATATTCCTGGAAAAGTACAGGACAAGCCCGCAGCCCTCTGGCGCCGTTTGCGTCCACAGCTGTGGCCTGTTGTGGCTTCATGGCTCGCTATGGCCATGGAGCGATTTTGGGGTGCTGCTTGCTGTTTGCCCAGGCCATTTGGGCTCCAATGGCCATGACTTGCAGATGTGTGGAATCTTGCGTCTGTTGGAACTCCGAAGGGTTGGCTACGGGGTTGTCAGTGGCTTGGGGAGCTTCAATGGGGTAGGCCGGGTAGGCTGGTGGAGCAAAAGCTTTGGCAGGTCTTCTTGTTTTGTGGGCAGCAGGCAGCAAACCCATCGCTCAGGACTAGGACTCGCTTGGGGGATAGTTCGTGCAGGAAATGAGAGATTTTCTGATCCTGTGATTTGCAGATTGCAAAAAATGTTAGGTCTGAGAGGAGCGACATAGAGAGAGAGAGAGAGAAAGACACGGAGATATATGGATACATAGATAAATAGATAGATGGATAGATAGACAGACATACAGACAGACAGAGAGAGAGAGAGATAGATAGATAGATCATATAGATAGAGTAGGAAGATTAGATAGATTAAATCTGATAGATTAGATAGATTAGATATGTTTAGATGGATTAGATAGATTAGGTAGATTAGATTAGATAGATATATGATATAGATATATAAGTATAGATAGATATAGATACAGAGAGGTAGATATAGATAGATATAGATACATACAGCTAGATATAGATAGATATAGATACAAATAGAAGTGATTACAGATAGATATAAACAGATATACTGATATGATATACTAGTTAGATGTAGATAGACAGATAGATAGATAGATAAATAAATAGATTAGATAGATAGATAGATAGATAGATAAATAAATAGATTAGATAGATTAGATTAGATTAGATTAGATTAGATAGGATAGATAGATAGATAGATAGATAGATAGATTAATTAGATAGATAGACAGACAGACAGATAGATAGATAGATAAATAAATAAATAAATAAATAGATTAGAAGATTAGATTAGATTAGATTAGATAGGATAGATAGATAGATAGATAGATTAATTAGATAGATAGACAGACAGACAGACAGATAGATAGATAGATAGATAAATAAATAAATAGATTAGATAGATTAGATTAGATTAGATTAGATTAGATAGGATAGATAGATAGATAGATAGATAGATTAATAGATTAATTAGATAGATAGACAGACAGACAGACAGATAGATAGATAGATAGATAATGATAGATAGATATGGATATAGATATGGATGGATGGGGTATGGGTGGACTTCAGCCAGGTCTAATGGAGCGTTGTAATTGTAGAATCCTTCAGCTCCATGAGGCACTCGCCTTGGACTATCAGGACTCGTCGTGCCGCTGTTGTGGTCTCCTTTGATTTGGACGACACCCTGTGGCCAGTTGTGCCAGTGGTAGAAGAGGCAGGCCGATTTTGATTGCATGGGATCCATGTGACAGGCTATCACTTTGATCCACTTTGGAATCATGGGATACAGCGATATTGCGGATGGTAATTAATGCTAATGGGTATCAAATCCTTTCCGGAATACGTTGGAATGGTGTCCAGGTCAGGTGCATGATGGGTTGATGCATCATTGGCCCGAGGCCAATCAGCAGATTGCAAAGGCTCATGAAGAACTAGCAGCAGAAGAGGCAGGGAAGATATGTGAAGATATGGGAAGATATCAAAGCTGGATTTAGTGATGGCCCACTATGGCCCACCTGTCATGAGGACTAAGATTTGCCATGATTTGCCTGAGGCAGTGCGATGCAGTATTTCTTTTCTGCCAGTAAAACATGATAACACATGTAAACACCCCCCTCAGAAATTGTATGGTTGAGTATGGTTTGGTATAGAATTTGTTAATGTTCGGCCCATAGGCACAGCGAGGATTTCGTAGTTCTCGGAAGGGGATGTCATGATGACGGGACTGGTTGGACCTAGACACATGATGACACATGTACATCAATTTACTGCTTGGTGGTTTCAAACACGGCTGTTATTTTCCATAATATATGGGATAATCCTTCCCATTGACTTTTCAAGATGGTTAAAAACATTTAAAAAGTTTATATCCAATTACCAGATTTATATGTAGATTTCTGTGACGCTTAGCTGCCAGCGCAGCTACAGGTTTTCGCTGCCATGCGGCGCCTACGCCGCCAGCCTGCCTGGGAGAACTCCAGTTATGGCGATGTGAGATGTGCGGCTTACACGGAACTGCTGGGTGATAAAACCGCAGCGGATGCTTGGCATGGAGTGGCTAGCTAGATTTTTGGATCATTCTCGATTGGTGAAAACAAATTGCACTCATGATTAGATTTTTGGCTATGACATGTTTAAACATGTTTATTTGTTTTTTAATTGTACTCATGATGGTGTTGTGAAACTGCTGGTGACCCAAGGAAGCAGTTCTGCAGCAATGGATTTGTGCTCGCAATGAAGCTGGGGCCATTCACCTCTACTCAGATGTCATTCCTTGCTTGGACTGGGGTGGTCAAAATATCAAGAGCACAAAACTAATTACTGCAGACATATTTTGAGGTCAGTGGGGACAAAAATCGCAGGGAGAGGGATCAAAAAAAAAACAAATAAGGATCAAAAAAAAAACAAATAAGGATCAAAAAAAAAACAAATAGGGATCAAAAAAAAAACAAAATCCAGCAAACATGAGAAAACACAAGGAAACTATCACGAAATGAAGGCAAAACCCATGGATCAAAAAAAACAAAATCAGGAAAGGAAAGAAAGAAAGAAAGAAAGAAAGAGAAAGAAAGAAAGAAAGAAGAAGTAACCTTCTCTTGAAAAATGAAAGGAAAGCTTCCTTCTCTTGACCCCCCCACCCGCTTTTATTTTTTAGCCGGCTCCCCTTGCTACCTACTATTCTTTTTTTTTCACAAGCATCATCGTTGTTTATTTGGGTTCATTTAATCTTGATTGATATCCATCGCGACTTGTGCCTATGTACTTCTTTCTTGGTACGCATTGCGGGGGGAGGCGCTGCGCCCTCCCCCCTGCACCCCCCCACCCGCTTTTTTTTTAATCGGTTCCCCTTGCTACCTACTATTCTTTTTTGTTTTTCATAAGCATCACCGGTTATTTGGGTTCATTTTATCTTTATTGATATCCATCGAGATTTGTGCCTATGTACTTCTTTCTTGGTACGCATTGCGGGGGGAGGCACTGCGCCCTCCCCCCTGCACCCCCCCACCCGCTTTTATTTCTTAATTGACTTCCCTTGCTACCTACTCTCTTTCATTTTTTTCATAGGCATCGTTTCTTTGGGTTCATCTTCTCTTTCTTAATCTTTATTTATATCCATCGAGACTTGAGCCTGTGTGCTTCTTTCTTGGTACGCATTCCGGGTGGAGGCGCTGCGCCCTCCCCCCTGCACCCCCCCACCCGCTTTTATTTTTTCATCAGCTTCCCTTGCTACCTACTCTATTTCTTTATCTTCGCAAGCATCGTTTATTTGGGTTTATTTTTTATATAATCAATATTTTCATTCTTGCTGCTGCTACTACTACTAGTACTACTACTACTACTGCTGCTGCTACTGCTACTGCTACTGCTACTACTAGTACTAGTACTAGTACTAGTACTAGTACTAGTACTACAACTACTTTCTTCCTTCCTTCCTTCCTTCCCTCGATTTCCTTTTTTTTTGATCCTTATTTGTTTTTTGATCCTTATTTGAACTTACTGTTTTTTTGCAAGATCGGAGAAACACACTTACAAGTATTATGACACATCGTGGACGAACACTCGACCAGACAACATGCAAGCACTACGTGACCTGTTCCTGGAAATGTATGTGCCGGCCAGAGGCCCGGCAAAGCGCGCAAACTAGCTCTGGCCAAGCCTTTGTTGCCACAAAAAGGTGGATGGTATGGCCCACCAACTGCTACGTTTAGTGTTACGGTACTACTGCTGCCGCTGTAATCCGCTGTATGCTGTGACAGCGCAACAAAGGTGGATGATAAGGCCCATCTACATTGCGAAATGTATCATGACCATGTGACGCTTTGCGGGGGGAGGCATTGCGGGGGGAGGCGCTGCGCCCTCCCCCCTGCACCCCACCACCCGCTTTTAATTCTTAATTGACTTCCCTTGCTACCTGCTCTCTTTCATTTTTTCATAGGTATCGTTTCTTTGGGTTTATCTTCTCTTTCTTAATCTTTAATTATATCCATCGAGACTTGAGCCTGTGTGCTTCTTTCTTGGTACGCATTGCGGGGGGAGGCGCTGCGCCCTCCCCCCTGCACCCCCCCACCCGCTTTTTTTTTTAATCGACTTCCCTTGCTACCTACTCTCTTTCGTTTTTATTCATATGTATTCCCAGTTGTTTTTTTTGATCCTCCCTTTCCGCAGTTTCTGGACGATTTTCACTACGATCGTCCTTATTTGTTTTTTTTGATCCTTATTTGTTTTTTTTTTGATCCCTCGATTTTGTTTTTTTTGATCCTTATTTGTTTTTTTTTGATCCCTTAGCCAAAATCGCACGGCTGGCAAATTCGGAAGCTTGAAAAAAAACTGAAATGCAAACTGAAATGCAAAAGACTGCAGAGGCATCTTGATTTTCCCTTCACTCCTGCAAAACTTCATTCTGTCTATAATTTCTAGTGAATTTGACAGTGGCCAGCATAGACATCCAGGATTTCACCAACGCAGCCCGTTCCAGGAGGGGCTCGCTTCCTCTGGCGCCATGGTCGGGGCAATTACCAATGGTCTTAGCAACCCGATCGAAATCCCCAAACTCTCGGAGTTTTTCGATTTCTGCGTCTCCGCCGAGGAGGACCGGGGACCGACCAGGATTGGCATCCGAAAAGGCCATTTGGTGCCGGATGATCCCTCCAGGAATGGTTTTGTAATTGGACATAATTGGACCATGCGAACCAGGTCATGACATCTATATCATATATCCACATATATCTATATATATATAATTATATATATATATTATGTATACTAATATATACACTAATATTCATGCACCGATAACATAGATTCTATACATAAATAAGTAAATAGATAAACATTAAAGGACCGGATAACCCCACATGTTACCAACTTCTTTAGACTTAGACTGACCATAGAAGAGCAAGAAGGGAAGAGGAAGTATAAGAGTGATGGAGCGGTGATGGTGGGTGAGTTTGTGTGTATGTATGTATGTTCATGTACAGTGAGTGAGCGAGTGAGTGAGTGAGTGAGCGAGCGAGCGAGTGAGTGAGTGAGTGAGTGAGAGTGTGAGTGAGTGATGCGAGTGTGGTGTGTGTGAGTGAGGGATGTGAGAGTGAGTGAAGTGAGTGAAGTGAAGTGAAGTGAAGTGAAGTGAAGTGAAGTGAAGTGAGTGAGTGGGTGAATGAGTGAGTGCGGTAGGTGAGGTAGGTGAGGTAGGTGGTGAGGTAGGTGAGGTAGGTGAGGTAGGTGAGGTAGGTGAGTTAGGTGAGGTAGGTGAGTGAGTGAGTGAGTGAATGTGAGTGAATGTGAGTGAGTGTGAGTGAGTGTGAGTGAGTGTGAGTGAATGTGAGTGAGTGTGAGTGAGTGTGAAGCCTCCCATTAACGTCCCCACCACCGGCCAACGTGGTGTCGGCTCGACCGAAGCCGAACCGTTTGGTAAGGACGAAGGCATCGACCTCAGTGAAGAAACAGACTTAGACGGAGCACAGAAAGCGAGAAGGGAAGAGGAAGGATAAGAGTGATGGAGGGACGATGGTGGTATGTATGTAGGTAGGTAGGTAGGTAGGTATGTATTTAGGTATCTATGTATGTATGTACGTAGGGTAAGTTGTTTGTGAGTAAGTTGCTTCGCTTTCATCGAGTTCCACCAGGCTCTGATGTTTTTTTTTCCGACACACTATCAAAACGATGGTGTGCTCACCATACTTCCGCTGACCTAAGTAATGTTCTGCACTCTTTCGAGCGCAGCCTCACATTTTGTGATCTCTTTCTGCATGCCCTGTGGCTGGTAAACATCGCTGGCACATGATGATGATGATGGTGATGATGGTGATGATGATGATGATGATGATGATGATGATGTATGTGAGTGAGTGAGGGAGTGAGTGAAGTGAAATGAAGTGAAGTGAAGTGAAGTGAAGTGAAGTGAAGTGAGTGAGCGGGTGAGTGAGGGAGGGAGGGAGGGAGTGAGGGAGTGAGTGAGTGAGTGATTGAGTGTGTGTGTGTGGGTGAGTGGGTGAGTGGGTGAGTGGGTGAGTGGGTGGGTGAGTGGGTGGGTGAGTGAGTGAGTGAGTGAGTGTGTGTGTGTAACATCTGAATAGATGTAAAACTTCTTCTCTCTCTTTTTCTTCCTTTGTCCTCTCTCTTTCTAATTCTAAATTAAATTTAATGCAGGGGGCCAGCGCATGGCATCACGACGCTGGCCAACGAAGCTAGTGATGTCATGGGAAGCCGTTGGAGACGTCCAACTGTGTACCTGCAGAAATCAAGTTGAACTGTTGAACAAGCTGTCTTGTTGCTGCACTGTTGTCGCAATCTGGAATCAATGTTGAGATTTACATGCATGTTTCAGGATTCAGTTCCTGCCGGATCATATAATGATCCATTCTTGTCTAGTGTGATTTCCATGGTGGCTCCGACATGGTGCCATGGAGCCATTTGAGGCAACCCTCTTCAGGGTGAGTGTCGACAGTCTTGAATTCTGAATTCACACATTTTAACTTGGTAATTCATCTAAGTAAATCGCAACAGTCAGCCTTTCGGTTGTGCACCTTTTGCAAAGTCCCGCTTTTCCGGCTGTCCTTTATGAACCCAGTGGATTGCATCTCTGTTGAGTGAAGCCACTTCGAACTACCAGAAACCTCCTTTTTCGCAGCAGCCTTTACAGTCACATTACAAGAGACAGAACGCAGGCAGGTACACGATCTTTAGGTGCGGGTTTCTTTCTTTTGATGGTCTCTGGTGAGGTGAAACATATTGTGCACCTAATTCGATGGAACTTGATAGCCGTTTGATGCCATTGGGGCACGACTTGACCACGGGCCTGTTGTGGCACAATTGCACGAACAGTAGGTCTAGGAGCTGAGTCCTGTTTGTTAACTACTTGTTTTGGTTTTGTTCGTCATCAACTAGTCCCCCATTTGGTCCCTAATTCTCCCCGCGTGCCTCTCCGTAATGTGTCGTGGGGTTTTAGGTGTGTGCGCTGTTTTTGTCAGGTCCGTTTCGCCGTGTAGGTTGGTTCTGGAGGTCCGTCTGTTCCCCTCCCCCCCTGCGCTGTTTTTGGCCGTTTGCCCTTCGTGTGTCCGCTTTTTTCTTCCTCTTGCCTTTCAGGGTTGACCCGGCTCCGGCCGGGTGTGTGTGTGTAACATCTGAATAGATGTAAAACTTCTTCTCTCTCTTTTTCTTCCTTTGTCCTCTCCCTTTCTAATTCTAAATTAAATTTAATGCAGGGGGCCAGCGCATGGCATCACGACGCTGGCCAACGAAGCTAGTGATGTCATGGGAAGCCGTTGGAGACGTCCAACTGTGTACCTGCAGAAATCAAGTTGAACTGTTGAACAAGCTGTCTTGTTGCTGCACTGTTGTCGCAATCTGGAATCAATGTTGAGATTTACATGCATGTTTCAGGATTCAGTTCCTGCCGGATCATATAATGATCCATTCTTGTCTAGTGTGAGTGAGGAGGGAGGACGGGAAGGAGGAGGAGGACGACGAGGAGCGGATACAGAACTAAAAACAAAAACCCCACACGTCAATGTGGGGAATGACAGGGAGACGCAAGCTATCTATGTAACAATCTATTTATCTATCTACCTATCTATCTATCTATGCATCCATCCATGCATCCATCCATCTATGTCTTTATCTCTCCATCCATCCATCTATCTATGTCTCTCTCCCTATCTCTCTCTCTCTCTCTTTCTCTCTCTCCCTATCTCTCTATCTATCTATCTATCTATCGGTCGATCGATCTATCTGTCTATCTATCCATTCATCCATCCATCAATCAATCCATCTATCTATTTCTCTCTCTCTCTCTCTCTCTGTCTCTCTATCTATCTATCAGACCTGTCTATCTATCTATCTGTCTATCTGTCCTTGCATCAGGATACCTATCTATCTACCAATCAATCAATCTATCTATCCATCGATCGATCTCTCTGGCTATTTATCCATCTATCTATCGATCTATCTAGCAATCTATCTGTTCAATCTATCCATCAACAATCCATCCATCCTGCATGAGTGAGTGAGTGAGTTAGTGAGTGAGTGAGTAAGTGAGTGAGCATGTGAAAGAGTGAGTGAGTGAGTGAGTAAGTGAGTGAGCATGTGAAAGAATGAGTGAGTGAGTGAGTGAGTGAGGCGTACATCCGACCCCTTGGCAGTGCACATTGTGCCACGCCTGCCACGCAAAAGACGCGGAGACCCAAGGGACGCCAGGGCGTACATCCGACCCCTTGGCAGTGCACATGGTCCCACGCCTGCCACGCAAAAGAGGCGGAGACTCAAGGGACGCCAGGGCGTACATCCGACCCCTTGGCAGTGCACATTGTGCCACGCCTGCCACGCAAAAGCGGCGGAGACCCAAGGGACGCCAGGGCGTACATCCGACCCCTTGGCAGTGCACATTGTGCCACGCCTGCCACACAAAAGAAGCGGAGACCCAAGGGACGCCAGGGCGTACATCCGACCCCTTGGCAGTGCACATTGTGCCACGCCTGCCACGCAAAAGCGGCGGAGACCCAATGGACGCCAGGGCGTACATCTGACCCCTTGGCAGTGCACATTGTGCCACGCCTGCCACGCAAAAGAAGCGGAGACCCAAAGGACGCCAGGGCGTACATCCGACCCCTTGGCAGTGCACATTGTGCCACGCCTGCCACGCAAAAGCGGCGGAGACCCAAGGGACGCCAGGGCGTACATCCGACCCCTTGGCAGTGCACATTGTCCCACGCCTGCCACGCAAAAGCGGCGGAGACCAAGGGACACCGGAGGGACGCCAGGGCGTACATCCGACCCCTTGGCAGTGCACATTGTCCCACGCCTGCCACGCAAAAGAGGCGGAGACCCAAGGGACGCCAGGGCGTACATCCGACCCCTTGGCAGTGCACTTTGTGCCACGCCTGCCACGCAAAAGAGGCGGAGACCCAAGGGACGCCAGGGCGTACATCCGACCCCTTGGCGGTGCACATTGTGCCACGGGAACTGCCAATAAGCACAGGTCGGAGTACCAAGACGCCAGGGCGACATCCGAGCCCTTGGCAGTGCACATTGTCCCACGCCTGCCACGCAAAAGAGGCGGAGACCCAAGGGACGCCAGGACGTACATCCGAGCCCTTGGCAGTGCACATTGTGCCACGCCTGCCACGCCAAAGAGGCGGAGACCCAAGGGACGCCAGGGCGTACATCCGAGCCCTTGGCAGTGCACATTGTGCCACGCCTGCCACGCAAAAGAGGCGGAGACCCAAGGGACGCCAGGGCGTACATCCGAGCCCTTGGCAGTGCACATTGTCCCACGCCTGCCACGCAAAAGAGGCGGAGAGCCAAGGGACGCCAGGGCGTACATCCGAGCCCTTGGCAGTGCACATTGTCCCACGCCTGCCACGCAAAAGAGGCGGAGAGCCAAGGGACGCCAGGGCGTACATCCGAGCCCTTGGCAGTGCACATTGTCCCACGCCTGCCACGCAAAAGAGGCGGAG